TATTAGCCCAAGTTAGTCGAAGATTTGCTGTCACAAATCCTACCTCTGATAACCTGGCCAACACCAATTCGAGTGACAAAGTCACCTCGACCGACAGAAGAGTCGAATCTATCGTTGTGGGCGAGAGATTAGTAACCATGTGGGTGGTGAAGGGGAGAACTAAAGGGAGCTGACGTCACACGACAAGCACGCAACCGGCCGCGAAGAAATATGGTGGTTGAGTGTTGATGGACAGACAGAGGGAGGAACGGGGGGGAGGGATGGATGGGATGGGATGGTATGGGATGGTAATGGCGGGGTAGCTTCGGCTCGGCCCAGCGCATGATAGGTATGTCTAAAATGTCTTACTTCTTGCCCTTGTTATCAGGCTGGCTGGTGTCCTTGAGCCAGCCCGTGTATTCGATGGTGACGGTCTGGCCGGCCGTGGGCGTGGCACCAGTGCCTTCTTGGATTACGGTCTTGGTAACACCCATTGTGAAAGAGGGATCGTTGCTTGTGGGTTGCTGTATGTGTATGGGGCTTATTGAGATGAAGAAGTATGAATCCAAGGTTGTCGTTAAAATTTCCGGAGGAGGGGAATGGGAGCGTAAATACTTAAGTACTTGAGGCAGGAGGTTAGTGGGAGAGCACAAGTGGGATGTTTAGCGTCCCTTCACAGATATCCACAGGACCACGTTTCCCACTTAGAGAACCGTGAGAAGTAGGTACGCAGTACCTAAGCACAGGTCAAGGTGAGGGGTAGTGGGCAAGCGACAGCTAATGATTTATGGGTCTGAGTTGTACAATGTACTGGTATGAAAATACTCTCTCTCATCGTAGAAGTACTAGGACTGTAGGTACCTGTATGTATGCATACCTCAGGTATAGAAGAATAATGTTATTATCCACCCGCAAATATGGGCGCGGGATGGCCTAAGAAGAAGATATTTATGTTGTAGAACATGTGAGAGAACTTGAGAGCTGCATTGTCGGTGGGTTATAGGACCTCTAGCTACCTACTTACCTAAGTAGGTAGTAGACATATAGGTATTGGCGGTCTCAAACAGTATTAAAAGGTAGGTACATGGATATGAGGTACCCTAAATCTTACATATGTAACTTAGTACATATATCACTTGTAACCTTTTTTTATCTAGTTGTAAGTAGATGTAGGTTTTGAATACATCTGGAGATAACTATTTGGCTATGTTATAATTGTGAGAGAGGTGTAAGCAAGTACCGCAAGCTACAAGCATCCAGGTAGGCAGATTATGTAAGTACCACATACCCCACGTTACGCAACCTTCATCCTGTACCTACATAGACGCTCATGATTCGAGGTATTCGGTACCTCTTTGCCCCTTGCGAATAACACGTGTGTGTACCCGTATCCCTCGCAGATCGAAGCTCTTGATCTGCATGGTGCATCTCAGCAGTAAGAGGTAGGGAGTGTACTCCCAGGTAGAATATAGGTATCTTAGGTACGTACCTACTAAGACATGATGTCGTACATGATGATGTACATGCATTTTCATATGCACTACCTCGTATGAGAAGGTACACCTATTCTGAGAACTGAGCCCAGTAATATCCTCCCTTCATCCTCGTTGTCGCTACAGCTGTACATTGCTCACATTCTATCGTGGTTCGGCCAACGTACGAAGAAGATATCTAATTAGCATCGTGAGTACATGATGTTTGCCAGAAATGATACCATACATAGATAGGATCCCGCCAGTGCTGATCCACCCCCACCCCGTTGAGGATTACTTGCAGCATTCCCTGCGTCAGAGTCGGGTTTGTACCATGAAGAATGACTTTTTCGCAGTCCCTCTCACCGCAAAAGACCTTCCCATTGTTTCCCACCCATTCATTGTGGCTGTGTAAGAGTCTCACCGTAATAACAGGGCAGGATGGCGTCAACTCCGGTTATACGTACAGCACGTCAAACTCCCACCGTCAGTAAGTAACACCCGAGACAGTAGGGCATGGCACCAGTGCGATGAGATCCCCGGCAAGTTGCCCGGGAAAGCGGGGCAGATAAATCTATTTGGAGTTTGGGCTGGTCCGACGATCACGTAGTCTGCGTCGTGGTCGACCAACAAACAAACAAAATCGGTTGATTTAGTACTACCCTCTTCCCCCTTCTGGCAGGTGTCGGTACTGTATGTCTCTCGTGTTTTTGTCCCGAGGAAACATAGCTAAGATAAGCGAAGACGAGTTTAATGTTCTGGTCTATACAGTAAGATAGATCATTTAAACAGTGGCGTTGCAGATACTTGAAAAGTAATATCTGCCCAATGCAACCCTAAATTTTCATTAGTCATCCTCGTCCGCTAGAACGGCTCACTTTAATGTAAAATAGTCATAGGCAAGATGAGAAGCACCGATCATGCAAATACTATAATGCCGCCGCTTTGCTCGGAAGAAGGAAATCACATTCCAAGAACAATTATTGTAAGACCCAGTCTCCAACTACATCGTACCATGTGTTAGGAGGACGAGGTACCGGTGTGGCAATTATAAATAGAATTATGTTTCATTTCCTCCTCATGGGGACGATCAATACTCTTTTGATTTGGTAAAACACGCAAGTATCGGTATGAGTCTGGGTGATGAATCCATTGCGCGCCACGGAAAGTTCCATTGGGAAAGATCTGGTTCACACCTGCAGTTACCCCCGGGAAGATTCTGCAGCTACGCGATTTGTATCACGCACGCAAATAGCTTGGGGAGGCTCAAGAAAGACCCAGCAATAGCACTGGAGTCTTCCTCTCATCAAATCAGGCGCATAACAGGGGATGGGAGGGGAAATGAAATGAGAATACGGTGAAGGTATTTCATAGTAGGTAGATCATAAGATAGAATGTGCTACGAAAAATATAAGCTATTAATCAAGACCGTACATCAAACGCAGTAAAATAAGAGGCAGTTCTACCCCAACCCTAGCCGCTTTGTCACATTGCAGCGGTGCGCCTGAATAGTTACTCATAAGACACTGACGACAATTCGAAACTCCCGCAGCTGGGACCTGCGTAGTAATTATAGTACTAGCGCTCTTCGTTTCCAGCCGCTCTCGCTCGGCTCGTGGCAATGATTGAATAATACCGAAGCACCCAACCTATACAACCTGCATGGAACCTTATGAGCTGAATGGCAACGGTGGAGGGTAATATGCATCTCTAGTATAGAATTCCCCAGCCTATAGTCAGGTCTATTATAGACCAATTGAAATTGTAATGTTGGTCTAACTACCTATGTCTCTGGAGTTGCACACAGTAGGATCTTGAAAAGAAGAGAGGGAACCAGGAAAAATTAAGACTTCGAGGCTCGTTAAGGCAACGTAGGCACAATTACCCTTGAACTTCTAAAAATCGAGTGATGCCACTGCACATATTCTATAGATTAGTCTCGAAGCATGAATACATAACATAATACTCATTACACGACGCGTGAACCGAACCAGACAGGCCCCGAGAGCTTTTGCTTTTCTAAAACTCGCCAATACCTCATTGGCGAATGGCCGGGAATAAGTAGCCGAGAACGAACGGCTATGAATAAATTTAGGAAACGCTTTCCGAGGAAAGTTGCGATTGGCCACAAGCATTTGCTCTAGAACACTTAAGATTTGCTGTAGTGTACTACGCTGGGCAGACGAACCACAACCTGTGATCCGATCTCTGTTCGACTCCTATTCGACTTTAACTGCCCTGATTGTTTTCTAGGCCTTGGTCATAGGCCGAATCACATACCTGAAGACTACGTAGGAAGTTTCTCCCGTGGGTCCACAGAACAGCTTCGTCACGTTACTCGGTAATACGACGTCCTCTATTGATTTCTAGCGGTTGGACTCCACGTTTTCAAGGATCCTTCTGGGCAGGTTTGTTGTTGAGCAGTGGTGCGCCCTCATCTTGTACAAGACATTGTCGTCACATCACACGACTTCTGAACTTCCCGTTGTACTGCGTGATATGTCGGTTAGCTGCTATGCGAGGCCTGCCGTAAATCCGCGTTTGTCATACTTTCTATCTTGTTAACCTAAATTTGTACCGAAAGTCATGTACAGGAATAAAAAATTTTCATGGTGCTAGTAAGTGTCCACTTGTTCCGTTGCCTACTCTTCTACCCAGACAGTTAGCTCTTAATTTCCTATGTGTAAAATGGTTGGCAACTTCTTCTAGGCCGGTCTGACATTTTTACAATTTCTGTCACAAAATAGGAATGTAGTACTGTAGCGCAACAACACTAAAAATAGAATGTTGTCAAGTCAGGATGACCGTCTGCATCTACTATATTATATGGTACCGTGGTACATTCCCAAGACTTATCTTTTCCGCAAGGGTAAACACGAGGAGAAAGAACATATATACCGCCCTAGTAGGAGCAAGGTAGGCTGCAAGGTTGTTTATAACTACATTGAATTTGAAGAGATTTTTGAGGTCGGCTTCCCTTCTCCTTCTAAGAGGTTCTCGTTTAAGAGATTCCCGGATACTGGCCTTCTAGTCCTAAGAAAGTGAGTTGGCAAGCTGTTAAGCGTTTTTAAGCCATTCTAACAGAACCTTTCTTTCCAAGAACCTTTCTTTCCAAGAACCTTTCTTTCCAAGAACCTTTCTTTCCAAGAACCTTTCTTTCCAAGAACCTTTCTTTCCAAGAACTTCGACGTGTCCAAGTGAAGCTAGTATGTTTATACAAGAAGCAAAGAGAAACAAGTATTAGATCACAACTCCTAAATTCTGTTATTGCACCTATCTAGTTCCGTTAAACTATGTCATTTTGGCCTATTCCGCAGGGCCTCATTCCATTCCATGCATGATTTTAATTTCCATTATTGGTAGCTGCGGACACATTGCATTTAAATACCTTGATATGGATGTCATGACTACAATATAGGTAGTACCATGTAAGAAACCACCTGCACCTTGAGCAATGGCTGTATAATTAATGACCGCCCCACCCGGCTCGATAAGGATACTAGTTTCGATAACAAAATCAGAACTCAACTAGTTCCGTTTCCAGTAGCCGGCTCAATGGTCTAGTGGTATGATTCCTGCTTCGGGCTTTTCAACCCTTCCATTAAACATGGGAATGCAGGAGGCCCCGGGTTCGAATCCCGGTTGAGCCCATCTTTTTATGATTCCTATAAGTGGTTTCTTTCTTTTTGTATCTTCTTTTTCTACCTCTGTTTTTATAGGAAACTGCGTTGTAGCTAGTTTCTTTTGTTTTCTTATGCCTATCTATAGAGTCTGCACCTAGGATAACCTTTAGACTGTGAGGGATGGGAGGAGAGCTATGCTATTCAAGGTGGCGGTATTTGGAATTGCGATGCTATTAACTACGGTGCCTATTTGGGGCGATACGATATAGCCATGCACACTGCCTCGCTTAAAGGCCAAAGACGTGTGAAGCTCGCCAACTATAGCATACAGGTCGCCAGAAAGGGGGACTTTCCCCGTCAAGGTCGGAACATTACTGTGAAAGCGAGCGACTTGCTTCGCGTCAAGTTTTGGTATTCTTGGGTCAAAATTATAGAGGAGGCCTGGTAAATTTATGGTGATGGGAAGCAGAGTGCCGTTAAGGAATACGTGCACATTCTCGATGAATTTAGTTGGGAGACTATAATATAGTTTTTGGGCCGTATGTTAATAAACTAGAGAATTAGACATGATGAGATAAAGCCCCGAAAGCTGACATTAGAAATACGGTAAATAACTAGAACCCTTGGAATTTGAGGCGTGACGACAATGTGGCTCCTCATATAGGTGGCTTTCTAGCTGGTTGCGGAACAAAGCGAGCTCTCCACTAACGTCTTTGTATGGTAATTTCCTCGTATTTCGTACATACGCGGGCAGCTATGAAGTCCGTTTTCGCATAAACAAAAAATTTGACCCCTTCAGCGTGATATTATTTTGCACACAAGTGTTGAAGTGTTGGAATCGAAACCTCTAAGACTGAAGTTTGCCTTACAAGGCGGGGACGTTTAATTACTTGGAGTAATTTTTAATATGCATTCCACTCTAAGGCAAGTAAGACTGCTTGCAATTTCTTTATCTAGCTGGATATATATATATGGGCGTGTTGCCATCAGCGTCCTAGCATCCGGAGAGGAACGAAAGGTGCCCAGCTGTCTGTGAGGGCATAGTCCATACAGCTGCGTCCCCGAAAAACCCGCTGGGACCAATCCACTGCCTAAGTATACCTGGTAAGTGGGAAAAGGGGCTGAACCTTTTTTTTACGGCTATAGCTCAAGATCCTTTTGATAGCTTTATCTTTTTTAGTTAGTTAAATAGATCTCTGCTATACAGCCTAGATCGCGCCTATTGAGCCTTTGCCAGTGTGTTAGTCTGATTGAGTGAGCTACTATAAAGGCTAAGCTAGATGACACAACGAGCATTCCTCCGCATTGGGGTCGTTAAGTATAAGATATAGTCAGGATAAAATAGAACGATAGGAAAACATCCGTGAACTTCCCCGCCGCATTCGTCGTGGCACGGGTGTCTCCCTCCAAACTTCAACCACTTCCCCAAGCGCATCATCACCCTCCATATCCAACGGCCAGATCGTCCCGTAGCTCACTACGAGTAGCTTAATGCGTGTCTCCCCATCGTTGAGATGCCGGGCCAGCCACTGGAATGTCTGTGCAAACTGGCTAGAGTGGCCACTATTTCTAATCACGTCCTCGGCCTCGACAATGACGAAGCTCTCAGTTAGGCGTCGTAGAATCCAACAAAGCAGCTCCACCCACTCTTGTGGGTTGTGTGACGCAGAGAGCTTCTCCACACTGAAGAGTTCGGGATTTGAACTCACCAGGTTAGATGCGAGCTTCATCGACTGGAACACGAGGCTACGTAACAAGTCCGATGTGTCAACTGTCCCGTCGGCATCTGAGCTTATACTGGAGAGATACCAGACCAGCTTCGTCGCCTGTGGCCGGAGCAACGCGATTATTTCGGTGGCGATCTCTTTGACTCTAGCCTGGGCTCGTGCTTGAGCCTTCAACACAAGGACGGCCGACGTCGGCGACGTGATCCATCGCGTGACGCTTTGCAGAACCCGGACCATGTTTGCACTGCGACGCTTCCATGGCGGTGATCGCCGGATAAGTGACTGGTGGCCGCGGAGGGTGTCCTCGGGAGATCGCTTGGGTTCCAATACATCTAGCATTTGCTTGAAGTGAATATCAGTTACGCGGGGCTTCATATCCCTCAGGTCGAGCTGTATGTCTCCGATTTGGCAAGAGCTGGCTAAGTGCGACTCAGTTTCTATGTACTTTCCGCCGCCATCACGAGGGTGGCGCAACATCACTTACCAGTCACGATCTGTAGGATCCTTCCCACTGTTGTCGACATGTCTACCTGCGCGACCTCGAATTTGGCTTGCATGTCATGCAACTTTGTCTCCCTTTCCGCCAGTCTCTCGCTCTGTTCGTGCAAGAAGACATTCATCTCGCGCACTTCGGCCTTCACGGCAATGTTGGCAATGTCGTCAATCGCGTTTGCGCAAAGCCGGATCTGTTCGACTGTATCTTTATAGCTGAGTTCGTAGGGTTTGAACAGGGCCGTGAGCGCCCTACCGGCGGGCCCAACGACATACCATCTCACCACTTGCTTTAAGAATAATAAAATGTGTGCATATAAGTTGGCCACGGCATCTTTCATCTGGTCTGTCTGATAGAGCTCGGCACTGAGCTTCGTGATGGGCAAGACGTGAGAGATCATGGACAGTGCTTGTGAGAACTGTACGACGAGATTGCCGTGGTTGATGATTCCCTAGTAGAGTCATTAGTCAGGTCTAGGAAGATAGGCTTCGATCTCGACTTGCCATCAAGACGAATTTCACAACACCCCATACTAATGAGACATACTCGGGATGGTGTTGTGCTAGGGTGTCCAAAACCCGGCCATAGTACATGACGCGTGTAGACAGCCCTCGTAGCCAGGAAATTAAGCCAGGTCGATTACGCGACGATCGGTCATACTTGTCCTCGACGTATCGTGTCGTCTCTAGCAGGTCATCGAGTGACGTTGACTCGACGGTTTTTAGCCACGAGAGAGCGGCAGTGTTACCAGCGAACCCCTTTTCTAAATACTGAATGGCATCCTGGAATGCCTCAGATGCAATGTCTCGTTGTCTACGCGCGACAGTTAAATGCTATCAATCAGACGAGTTGGGAATATTGACTATGATTACCTAATAGCCCCTACTGGGGGTGTGATAATCCGTGTCCGCGAGCTATCGCAGACTGTTACGGGTCAGTCCGCTGAGATTGCGGAGCTTGAAGAAAAACTTGCTATGCTTAGCCGCATTCATCAGAGGGATCGGAAAGATTTGGCCGTCCGCACGGAGGAAGTAAGAGAGGCTTGGGGATTGGTAAGCCATCTACAACGTGAACTTCGCAAGTCTCGCGACTCTTTTCCATTTCGCCGTTGATATGACTTGGCTTGAAATCAATATTGGGATTTGGAATGAGGTCTTGGCGTTCCTGGCGTAGGTTTGGTGTTACTGGGCTGCGTTTTCCCCAAGTTGGGGGAATTGGTTCAGGAAGAATCCCGAAAACCCTACTCGTCGATCTGACAACGTCGATGACCCAACTCTGCCTGCGGTGCACCCGCCGACAGCGGGCCCCTAATGCCAACTACGCCAAAATATAAAACTTGAGAAGAAGGAGGATGGAGACAGGAATCTTAGCATAGTCCGCTATAATTATAGCTTAGAAATATATAAATGATATAATAACACTAATTATAATATTAAAACTTAGAACGTAAATTAAAATTAAATTAGCTTTTAATAAAATCTTGAGTAGTTATTAAGTTATTAATGATTAAAGTGCACAGTTTTGTGGAAAGTGGGCGACTTACCTATAAACCACGTTGTATTTATTTAATTTAATAATATATTAATATTAATCTACCCCTTATTACTCCAGCCGCAAGCCTGCCGCTTGCGCATAATCTCTTGCGTTGTGACCATGAGTTTTCTCAACATACTTCTCAAACTCGTCCACGACTCGTATTGTCTGGTCCAGGTGAGTGTAGCTCAGTGGCTTGTCGCGGAAGCGAGCCAGCTGCCTCGCCGATGTGATGGCGTTGCGAATCTGGCGCCCGTTTAGATTCTCTCTAGCCAGCACGTCGATTTTATCCTGAAGCTCCTCTGTGTTGACCCGCTCGCCGTCCGCAAGCCCGGTCCTCCTGTCGCTTGCTTGAGCGGTCGCCTCCTCTTGCTGCTTCTGCAGTAGTTTGATGAAGTTGTTCCAGATTTGCCATCTGCCCTTCGCATCCAAGGGAGGGTAGTGTAACGCTAGTTGTACGCGAGATTTGAATGCTTCATCAAAGATACCGACTAGTCTAAATTAGAGATAATTACACAGTGTAATAGAGGTAAAGGAAGAGAAAATTGGTTGCTGTACTAGTAGACATTACTTACCACGATTGGATGTTAAAATCAGAATGCCTTCGTAGTATTCAAGGACACGAAGGAACACAGAGACTAGTGCATTTCTCTGAAGATCTGTCTTCTCTCGCTCTTCGAGAAACACGTCGCTTTCATCCAGCAGGACAACTTGGCTATGCGTTAGTGGCATTTAATCAAGTAATAATAAATGGGCGGAAATAGATCGTACCAGCTTTCCAGATTGTGCCGATGTACAGCACGGATTCCAAGTATCTCTCGACGCTCTCGGGGTCGGTCCCTATATCACCGCACGTCACACGGTACAGAGGCTTTTCTGCTAACTCGGCAACGCTCTCAGCGGTCAGGGTTTTCCCCGTCCCGGGCCCTCCGTGTAGTAGGATGATAAGGCCGTTCCCCTTCCCCTCGATGACATCAGTAGTCATATTCGAGTTTATGTGGGTGCGTACCATAGCCTCGATCAGCTCCTTCTTCTGCGGATCCAGGACTAGCGGTTCGAATGCTCTTTTATTCCAGTGAACGGGTTTTAGATGTTTCACGAAGAGGCTCTCTGCACACAACTAGGGGTTATTAGCGCCCGACAACTCGTGCGTATAAAAAGGGGTTCATCACACTGACTCCACTTCTTATCGTGCAGACCGAACCCCAAAATCTTAGGAGGAAGTAGCAAGAGGAACGGATCCTCGAGGGGTTCTTGAAGGTTCATGGTCTCCT